GACACGTCCCTCGCCGCAGACAAGGAAAGAAAAGGGTACGACCCCATGCAGTGAGGATGACGCTTAGCGTAGCTCTTGAGGCGCAGATATAGTTTAGCGCACCATACGTCTGATCGCACAACCGAGAAAGGTACGTCCTGACCTTGCGACTGCTATCTCCGTACAACCGTACGAGACAGACGATCAATTCGTATCTACACCAAACTCGGTTGTGCGATTGGACGATTAATCCGACGAACTATAACTTGCTAGTCAGGCGAGAGGTGCAAACGAGAACAGCACATTCAACGTGCCCAGTTAGTTTAACAAAAATTGTAGACGTATTCCACACCCTGAGTTGAGTAGCTCGTAAGTAACTTCCAGAGTAAAAAGATCGGCATGTAAGAAAGGTGAACACGCACGTACTCGGGGAGGCAGAAAATGGTCCGAGCTTACATTGCTGTGTGAAGGGCCTTCCTACTAAAAGAAAACCTTCTGAAAATCGCTTTCGGTCCTGGGCAATTTCTCACGCGATCTTCACAACGGGTCATATACTTCCCATGCCCTCGAAGAATTTGTCACCACCGTCGACATTATCCCTCTGATGTTTTGGTTTCCCTTACGTTAATTCAGAGTTGCTTCTTTCTTGCACTACCGATGTTAGCACCTGAGGAATCAAAACAAACTAGTGAACTGGAAAATAAAGCAAAGACCAACCTGATCTGCACCCTTCTGCACAACTGCTTTCTTGGCTTTCACCTTTTTGATCACAGCCATCTCTACTGAGCAAAAAATGCAATAAATTGGATGTAACATTCGGAAGCGATTACGACAATAAAAAAAAACTGGACTTGTGACCAAATATTCACTGACGACAAACAATAAACAACTTTGATATTTATTTTGAATGACGACGAGTAGTAATAATAAATAAGCAGAAATTTCAATGGTTGTTGTGATCACGTCTTCTCTTCCTCATCCTTCTTCGCAGAAAATAAACGCTCAGCTCTCTGACGTAAGGTGCCACCACATTTCATTCCACGAGCTAAATTAGCTAGATGACATTGTGCACAAGCATTAAAATTAAATTAATTAATTGATTAATTTGTCTTTTAATAATTGCAAAAACTGAAAACACATTTTCGTATGTAAATATTTCGACTTTACAAGTAACTACTTAAAAGATACCTATCAAAGCATGTTTGAGATGATTGAGCCCGAGCTCCTCCAGTTGAACGGCACTATCATATAACGACAGGTCTACAGCGGGAAATTCCGTTGGTTCACTGATCTTCTCCTTTTCCGGCGCACTTTCTGTAGGTTCGCATGGCTGAAATATTACATAAAGGTAGAACTTCAACTCGCCAGCCTAAAACATGAAAATACCAAACAAAACAACAGCGACGTACAAGAATCTCCACATTTTCCGAAGCATTTTCGCTGCAATCCGTCACGCACAAGGTTTCGACTTCTGACGTCGTGGGTTTCTCATTCTTGCAATGACTTCGACGATTCCCCTTTTTGGGCGGTAAAATAGTCCTGGATCTCACGAAGCAGTTCAGGGTCGACATCATTCTCTTCCGAATCGGAACTAGAATCATCATCTTCGTCATCCCTGAAAATGAATAAGCTATGAGAAAGCGAAACGTAGGCGAAATTCATGAAGTTTCTGGTTAGCGACTTACAATTTCGTCTTTTTCTGCTCGACTTCTGCCGACATCGATCCTGCCTTTCGTTTTCTAGTTTTCAAGCTACCAGGTAAATCATCGATATCAAAATCAGAATCGGACGAAGACTCCACAGGCTTTCTCCTTTCTTTCTCACGTTCAGCTTTCAAAGCTTCCAAAAAACCTATAAAGGCAATGGGTTATACGACATTAAGGATGAGAACGAATGTAACGAATTTGAAAAGATAACATCACTAGTTCTTTGTGAGCCTTCTAAATGAGTCACTACACACACAGTGAGCCAAATAAATAAACAAAAAAATATCTAAATAAGTAAAATTTAAGTATGCTGCCTGAGAAAGCGACACAAACCTTCTTCGAAAGCTTCTTCAGTCTTTTCAATTATAGTCTCTTTTTGACGCATATAGTCGGTATCATCGAACATATGCTTTGGAGGCCCAGATTTCAGCTTCTCATACTTCGCCTTTCTAGAAATAAAGGAAAAAATAGTAGGAAAAAAGGCGAGAGGCTAAAAAGATAGATTTTATTTATTCTGATAAGGAGGCGTCACAACTACTGTATAAATATTAAAAGGCAATTTCAATGCGCACTTTGACCGTTCAGAAAACGTAAGAAGTAAAACATCGAGTTGACAGGAACCGTGAAAACTCCTACTCAATGTTGCTATACCCAATCTAAGCTCATACAGACCAGTAAGGGTCAAAAATCTCATTTGAACGCAGGAATCAGCAAGAGGACTACGTCCAAATCATACGCTGAGCTGAAACCTCTTCTTTTTCATATCACATATATACTGTACACTCTACCTGGTAGCGCAAGTTATTCTGAATGAGGGTTGTCTTCCATAAAGGTTGCTCAATTTTTGCTCATAAGATGTTTGTAACATTGATTTGATTAACGATACTCTAAAGAGCAAAAATTGAAAGCGGACCCTAGCAGTCAAGTCCATTTGCTGTTTTCCTCCAAATATTAGAAAGAGCCGCTTTTTTGACAACTCCTTTTACAGCTTTAGGTTTCGGAAGAGCAAAAGACTACACCCGAAATGGAGCGTGTTGCAGAACTTAGGCACATCGGATTAGACTACAGCCTTTGGAATTAGATTTTGTTTCGACACCCCCACGACTACCCTATTGTTTCACCTTAGTCAGACATCAGGACCTCCCTATTCTGATTTTAGTGCTCTGTTCAGGGGGCGGTATTTCAATCCCCCAGGGGATATATCCCCTACTCTGATTCAATCCTCTGGGGGGACAAAAAAGGGTTGCGTCATAGGACCTAGCATACCTCTGTGTTTCTACCTGCCAGACAGTTAGAGCAGCGCGACCCCTCAGGGGAAAGAGTGCTTCATCAGTGGAGGGTAGTAGCGCTGCTCTAACTGTCTGGCAGGTAGAAACACAGAGGTATGCTAGGTCCTATGACGCAACCCTTTTTTGTCCCCCCAGAGGATTGAATCAGAGGGGGGATATATCCCCCTGGGGGAAGGATTGAATACCGCCCCAGAGCAAGCTAATTGGTCATAGCATTTTCCTATTTTGAAGTCAAACACTCTCCCAATTCCAATACCGCCTTCAGAGTGTAGAACGAGGACATTCCTCACCCGATCTAGCTTCTCCCTCAAAATTAGAACATCTCAAAGACACAAAGAAAGCGTGTAATGTAGTATGCTACCTTTTCGCTATTTTTTCCTTCTCACGCTCTGCCATTCTCTCAATCCATTTCTTCAACCGCTCTTCTTCGTCGATCGATGCGAGACGACGACCATTTAGATCACGACACATCAGCTGATTCGTACTTTTGTTAACACGGAAGGAACGGAGAAGTGAGCCAAACCCTGAACACAAATAATAATAAGAACTCAAATTCGAATTACACAATGATATTGGCTGTGTACTTATTATGCCAATAAACTGACCTCCCTTTCCTCCAAGAACACGAAAATGCAGTTGGAACAAGCCATCTTCTGGTAAGTCACCAAGACGTGAAAGAAAATTGTCAATAATTTCTCCATCTGAGGTACAGTAGAATGTTTTTGGATCAAGAATGATCGCTTTGTTAACTGTATTAACGGAAGCGGAACCATAATCTAAACATAAGGGCAGTAGTAAACCACGGAAATATAAAGAAAACAGCAATAAAAGGAGAACTAGCATCGGTACGAAAATCGGAGACGAATTCGTCATACGGTACCGTTCAGTAGGCGTCGAAAATGCAACCTGCACATAATACACACAACATGACGCCTCCCACTGAAAAGCGTTTTCAAGTGTGCTCCGTGCATCCTGCCTTTTTGTGGACGGGTAATTCCTCCAAATTTCCAAAAGGTACGCGCATACGCATATTATCAACTTAATTCGCTCCCACAGCTCGCTACTGGTGGTTTTTGAGGAAGAACAATATCTGCTTCTAAAAAATTGACACTTCTTCTTTAGCGTTTGTCCCACCCTGTGGCGGGGTCCGCTTTCCTGGTATTACGACGCCACTTTTCCCGATTATGTGCCTTGATCGGGGTGGAGGCCAACTAATTTCAAGTCCTCATGCAACGTATCAAGCCATCGTTGCTTCGGGCGTCCTCTTGGCCGCTTTCCTGGCACGTTAAAGTCTAGACCGATCTTACGGACTTCTAAAAATTTGACACGGTTGGAGTAAGTCCAGTGAGTAAGTTACCAGTAAGTACCTTGATGACTAACTTAAGTCCAAAATCTATCTGAGTTATTTTGTAAGGTAAAATGTAAAAGGCTGAACATAAAAACGGAAATTTTCGTATCTAATTCTTTCCGAACCGGAACTGGGCTTAATCAATTTCCCGGATTGAAGACGATGCGCTGCTCAGAAATGTTCAACAGAATGACAGATTAATTCTCTAGTAGCCAATAGCTCGGAATTTGCAGCGGAGGGGATGGGCGGGCGAAGGGCAGTCTGTGAAGAAGCAGCGCATCGTCTTTCCGGAAAATTCCGAAGGAGGGGGACGAACTCTGGAGAAAATGAAATGCTTACACACCCCTGGGTTTCTCTTCGCCTCAAAGGCTTGTCTTAAAACGATTAACGCAAATTACGGGCCGTTCCTCCTCCCCCGAGCCACATTGCGCCAAGAGCTCAAGTGACATTCCCAATAATTTTCATTGGATTCAGTGCAAATTCAGTCGCTCGGTCACCTTTTAACCCTTTCGGACCTGAATTTTTCCCCGTGGAAAAATTTTTCTTCTAGCTATTGTTTATTACTTGTGAGCACATAATATCATTATGGCGAAATTTGGAAGCTATTCGATCACAAACTAAGAAACTAGGAAGCTTTGAAAATTGGCCAGCTTCTTAGTTTTTAAGCTTATGTCGAAACAATTCCAAATTTCTTAGTTATGTCGAAAAAGTTTATGATCTTGCACAACATTATATCCAACGTTTTTGATAAGAATTGAATATATCTTAAGTATTTTAGAAATGATTGACACTAACCTAGCGGCTTGCTGAGAGCAGCGCCGATTCATTGTCGCACTTGTACACAAATTGATGCAAACAGCAACCCACAATAAAATGGCGGGTTTGGAGATAATTATGAAGGGAAGGTCGTCTGTAGTAATATCTACAGTGGGTAGTGAAAATATGCTGTTGCGGGCGATAATGCAGACATTTGAATTTGATGCTTTCAATTGCCGCCAGGCCGAAAGGGTAAACTTCTTTCCACACAATATGCGGCGCGGCCTAAATTTCCGAACAACCGAGATGACGTTTTCGGTTAGAGCGTCAAAAAAAAGTACAAGGAAAGTAAATGCCTACATGCGACATCAACGAGGGAGGCATCAAAATACGCAAATGAGGCGCAATGAAGTGTGTGGTAATTCCTTAGAAGTATAGCACAAGGACGCAGGCGTTGATTTCCAGATGTGAATATAGTGAATTTAACAACCTTAGTCCAAGATAATCAAGTACCGTAACTAAAACTTTATATTACTTCTACTACAATTTAGATACATCTAATTTCCACTACAATCAGAATAAATTGCACATATCAAAACACGTCTTCTCGATGAATCCTTGCAAATGTATGTTATGGGAAGAAAATTTGGCGATGCACATGTAGATTTTCTACTGAAAAGGCAATCATTTGTAAAGACATGCTGACAACCTCGTAGAAGCAATAAGGCCGATGTCAGACTTTGCGAATCGCGCGATTCGCTAGCGTCCGCGGTCGCGTTGCGGTACCAGCCAATTGAGTGATTCACTGGCCGCGACGCGACCGCAGACGCTAGCGAATCGCGCGATTCGCAAAGTCTGACATCGGCCTAATGTGGAATAAGTGGAAGTGAGGTGAAAAGCGTAAATGGCTGATTGGAACAAAAGTTAAAATCGCTAGTCAGGTTAAATTCATTAAATTATTCTATTAAAAAGCAAGAATAGAATGACACATCGGAAATATATTTACAAAATCATTCAGGAAAGAACGCTCGGGAACAGGGAGCAACATAGTTATACTAGATGAAAAAGAGTTATTACGGTGCATGAACATAATAAAATATGAAAATTCTGGAAACTACCTCGCTTCTTGATCTTTATGAAGATGGCTTTAGAAGCCCGAAACTATCATAATTCAGGGAATGCTCTCGGCGGATGTTAGTGAAGCAAAAATTGGGATGGAATAAGAAAGGTACGCATTCCATGTAAGCCCTGTTTCCTTGAAAAAGTGTGTCGTAATCGCACATTTAGTATCATGCGTGGCATAAACTACATCGAAAGCATCAGAAAGCACATCTGATATCGATTTTTTCGAGGCCACCACCACGTGTGCCACTAACTAAGTCGCAATTGTTTTTCGATGCCTCTACCACGTGGGCCACTAAGTCTGTGGTTGCGACAGCTCTCATGGAAAAAGAGTATACATGGCATAACAATATACACAAGAATACAACAAAAAATTGCCTGTCGTTCAGTGGCCTCTGCGAGCTGGAAATCGACCCCTTATGCCGACAGGAACACGCAGACTTCGGAGAGGCCAGTGGGATGGCTCACTGAGGAGTTTCTTTTCTTCGTCAGGAAAGTCTTCCGGTGACAACTCCCTTGGATCATCCGGGAAGGTAACAATCACTTCCGTTGCACCAAATTTTGCACCGTAATGTCCAGCCCAGTACTGGCTATCTTTTCCACGACTCATGACAGCAAGTTTTCGCATTCCACAAGGGTAATCAGAGTAGACGTGTTCGACCGTTTCCCAAGAATCTCCACCTGAACAAGTTCAAATGAATTTAAGGGAGCTACAAAAAAAGATAACAAAAGAATAACATACCTTCCCACTGACCCCAAAACCGAGAATGTGTAGGGAAGCGTGGTAGGAGAACATTTTTATCATAATTTTCATCTCTTCTTAGTAGTTGTAGTTTAAGTTCGTAGACAGCACCACAGTCTTTCCTGCAGGCACACCGTTCACGAACGGTAATATTTGGTCGGATCACATCCATCACCCATCCCTGCAAGTAAGGCCTTTTGTTGGATATAGCATCGCCAGAAAAAAAAACTGACTTGAGGTAAGACCGCTTCAAAGCGAAGAACGGTTAAAAATGAAAAAAGAATTCCGATCACAACCGTTTGTCTCACCTCGATTCCTGCCTTCTCCAGATCAATTTCAAAATACCTATGGCACCATTCATAGCTAGTTGCAAAGCATACAGGAACCTCATCACTGCAGAACACGGGAGGGTGCTCGATGATTATCCTGGAACTAAGAAGGTCTGATCGAGCGTTGTGCCCATAATGAAAGCATTAGTAAGGTATTTCAAGATAATTTTCCATGAGTTATAGTGAGTTCCTAAAGGAATCCATAAAGAACGAGATTCTATTGTGGAATGGAATAGTACTTCTTGAAGTTTAGCTCACATGAGCTCTGAACGCCAACGAGAGTGCAAGATTGAAAACGCATCAATAAAGGAGCTTTCAGAAATCACTTGAAAGGGACTCCACTTTTCCTTCTCAGTTTTAGCTTTTATTTATTTTTCTAATAAAATAAAGTGTTAAAAATTAATATTCCGTGGTTAGCAGGGGAAGGAATGCGTGTGAATTGTTTCTTGATAAGTAATGAGTTAAATAATAAACAGGACACATAA